CTGTGGTGCCGGGCTGGGGGCGGCGGCAGGAGGGCGACGGTGAGGGCAGCGATGGGCGCCGGGACAGAGCCGGCGGAGGCGCGGTGCGACGCGGCGGAGGGGTGAGGCCCCAGGCTGCCCGGTCCCGTCCTCCCCGCTCCCGCCCCCCCCCGCGCCCCCTCACCCGCCGCCTGCCCCCGCAGGAGGGTCTACCTGGACCACAACGCCACCACCCCCCTGGCCCCTGAGGTGGCCCAGGCCGTGCGGGATGCCATGCTCCAGGCCTGGGGCAACCCCAGCAGCTCCCACCCTGCAGGTAGGGATCCAGGGGAGCTGCTGCCGCGGCGTGTCGTGGCTCCCCGCCGCGGGTCGGCTGAGCCCCGTGGCCGCGGGAGCCCGTGGAGGAGCTGCCGGGTCTCATCCCGCAGGCAGGAAGGCGAAGGAGCTCATCGGCTGCGCCCGGGAGAGCCTGGCGAGGATGGTGGGAGGCCGGCCAGAGGACATCGTCTTTACCTCGGGGGGCACGGAGGTGGGAGCAGCCGCAGAGGAGGGCAAGGACAAAGGGCGCCGCCCTTTCTCTGGGCCTTCCTTTTCCCCTCTGCCTTTCTCTCTTCAGGCAAACAACATGGTGATCCACACCGCCCGCAGGCACTTCCGCGAAAGCCAGGCCAGGCCGGGGGACGGCCGGGGGACGCCGCACATCGTGACGTCGAGCGTGGAGCACGACTCCATCCGCCTGCCACTGGAGCAGCTGGTGAAGGACAGCCTGGCAGGTGAGCGGCACAGGGACTGCAGGGGACAGGTCGGGGACGTCTGGCCGCAGACTGGGGTTTGCGAGGGGGGCTTTTCTCCACTGGTATTTTTGGGGAGGAGGACAGGGACTCGCTTGCTCCACGATGTCCTGGGCTGTCCCCCCTGAGAGCACTGACTCCCCACGTGGTGCCCCCATTTCCTCAAGCTGGGTGTGTTACGCCATTGGCATCCAACGCCAGCCCCAAGAGCCGCTGCGCTCTCTGCCTGCGCGCCAGCTGCCTGCACAGCTCTACCTGCCTGCTCAGTGGGGCACGGGCAGCCCTGGGCGCTGTCTGGCTTCCCAGCAAACCTCAGGGCTTGTTTCTTGGCTTGCAGAAGCCACCTTTGTGGCTGTGTCCCCACGAAGCGGGCGGGCTGAGGTGGACGACGTCCTCGCTGCCATCCGGCCGACCACCTGCCTGGTTTCCATCATGTTGGCCAATAACGAGACTGGGGTCATCATGGTGAGACTGCATGACCAGGTGGGGGGGATAAGTGGGACAAGGTGGGGACATCCTCACAAAAAGGTGCTTGGTAAGGGGGAGCCAACGGTCCCTGGAACGCAGGCCCTCTTCCCTCCCGCCAGCCTGTAACAGAGCTGAGCCAGCGCGTCCATGCCCTCAATCAGTGGAGAGTGGCGGAGGGGCTGCCCAGGATCCTGGTGCACACAGATGCGGCGCAGATGATTGGCAAGGGGCGTGTGGACGTGCAGGAGCTGGGGGTGGACTACCTCACCATCGTGGGACACAAGGTATGGCCCTGTTCACGTGGCCCAGCCGCTGTTTGCCCTCTAAGACATGTCTGTTGGGGTGTCAGGGAGACTTTGGGTGCCCCCCACAGTTTGATATCTCATCAGTGGCCAAAGTTTTCCTGCTGGATAGTGCTCTGAAGACAGTCTTCAGCTGGGTGATAAGGCTCCTGCGAGTCAGGGGACCTGTCTGGAAGGGGGAGCAGGAGGAGGCCAAGGGTGGGGGACAGCTATGCAGCAGCCCGCGCCTGTGAGAGGGGCAGGGGTCAGCGCTGGAGGGCACTTGGATTTGGGCAGGAGTACAGAAAAGGGCACCTGGCAGTGTCCCCAGGGTCACCATGGCCGTTTCTTCCCACAGTTCTATGGCCCGCGGATTGGTGCGCTGTACGTGCGTGGCCCCGGCACCACCACCCCGCTGCACCCCATGCTCTTTGGAGGGGGACAAGAGAGGAGTTTCCGGCCGGGGTAAGGTGGCTGGGTGGTGGCCTGGAGAGCTGGGCCTCAGGCTGGTGGCCAAACCACGTGTGGCTACTTAGTCTGAGCTGAGCTGGCAGCTGTGTCACCTGCCAGCCCTGGGGCAGGCAGCCCAGCGCAGGGAGATGGATCTGTGTGTGGGAACCACGGGAGCCTGCTGCGCAGGCTTTGCCACAGGAGGAACCACAGGGTGGAACTGCCCCCTTCCCAACCACCTCATAGGGGTGTCCAGGGTCCCCTGCCAGCGGTGACGGGTCCCACACGGGGAACGTCTGTGCCCCAAGGTTGGGTTTCTGGTCTGGAGAAATAACTCACTGCTCCCTCTTCCCTTCCAGCACCGAGAACACCCCAATGATCGCTGGCCTCGGCCAGGTGAGTCAGTGATGGTCATGGGTGTGCGGTTCCCTGGGGGTGCTGCTCAGCGGAGCAAGCACGGAGACAGCTACCTGTGCTCCCCAGTCATTGGAAGCGTCAAACTCAAGGTGCGGGAGGGTGGGTGAACTATCAGGAAAGGAGATGGGGCTTTCTGGTGCCAGTCAAAGGAGGTGCTTCGGAGCACTTGCTGCAGGCTTTGCAGCCCTGGCAGTGGACAGTCAGGCAGCTCACGTGGCGCAAGGCACCAAGAGGCTGTTGGGGGACGCTGGGGACCTGGCAATTGCGGAGGCTGTTCCCGGGCTGGACTCACGTGCCAGGGGGCCACGCACGGAGGGAGGTGTTGGGGGATCCCTGACAAAGCCTGTCTGGGTTTTCTCTCCTCAGGCTGCAGAGTTGGTGAGCAAGAACTGGGAGGCCTACGAGGCTCATATGCAGGATGTTCGGGATTACCTGGAGGCCAGGCTGGAGGTGAGCGGACCTGGTTCCTTTGTCTCTCCTCTCCCAGGGTCTCAGTCTGCAGACTGGGGTCTGGAGCCAGGGTGGGTATGTCCCTCTGGCTCTGCCACCTCCTCATCAGGACAGAGCCGCGTGCGAACCCAGAGTGGTTCACAGCCCTCTGATTTCTCCAGGCCTCCTTTGGGAAGCAGAGGATCCACCTCAACAGCCACTTTACAGGCTCCAAGCGACTCTGCAACACCTCTAACTTCTCCATTCTGGGCCCAGGTCTTCAAGGTAGCTCTTACCCCACTGCTGCCCTGTGATGGTGCCCACAGAGTCAAGCACCCGCCCTGCACAGGACCCTGTGGCTAGAGACCGGCAGGTGCTTGGCTGTGGCTCGGGCAGGGAGGTGAGGCAGGCAGTGGCGCTTGGAGAGAGCCTGGGCACTGGGAGACCTGTGCTTCTGTGTGCTGCAGGGCGAAGGGTGCTGTCTCTCTGCAAGACGCTTCTCGCCAGCGTTGGGGCTGCCTGCCACTCTGAGAAAGGGGATCGGTAAGCAGCCAGCTTTGCCAGGCCTGGGGTGTCTTTCTGGAGGACAGTGGGTGGGAGGGAGAGAAATAAGACAGGGAAAGGGACCATGGGTGGCTGTGGGCAGCGTCACCTGGAGGAAAAGAGGGTGCAGAGCTTTCCAGAGGGGCTGAAGGGCTGTGAAGGAGGTTATTGCAAGAAACGCAGCTGGAATGCTTGACTGCTGCCTGGAAGGACCTTGTCCCTCCTGGCTTTGGTGATCCAGCTGAGCTTGGAAGTACTCTTCAGCGCCTGGTACTGCTGCAAGAGTTAGCCTTATGTCCGTGTGTGCCTGGCTCACCCACTCAAGCCCGATTTGAGTCTCCACCAGGCTCCTTTGGGGAGCAGGTGCTTTTGGCCTGGTCTAGAGCAATGCCCTGTAGACATGGTGGAGCTGCCAACCCACAGGGACATGGGAGAGATTCGTCATTGGAGGGGAAAAGTGAGATCCACCATAGGGCAACAAGCCCAGTGGGAGCAGGCGCCTTTGGAAAGCGGGCAGGCTTGCCTGGTGTGCATCTGCAGATGTGCCCTCCTACGGCTTGGTGAAGCTTTCTGGAGGTGCATGTGCTTCCTCGGCCTTCAAGTTAAACCTGCTCAGCCCCCTATCTGTGTTTCAGGCCTTCTGCAATTCTGCTCAGCTGCGGGATCCCCTATGACGTGGCGCAGAATGCCCTGCGGCTGAGCGTGGGGCGAGACACCACCCGGGCAGAAGTGGACCTGGTTGTGCAGGACCTAGTGCAGGCTGTGGCGCAGCTGTACCAGGACCAAGCCCTGTAGACCCTGGGGATCGCTCCCTGGCCATCACCCAGGTTCTCGGGACGGGATTGTGCCCTGCTTGGCCCCTGGGTGCTGGCTGCCTGTGTCAGTTTGGGCTCAGGTTTTGGCGGGATTAGTTTTGCGCCTGATCCCTAAGCTGAACTGATGCAGCCTGCAGTTTGTGATTGTGGATCAGACGTTGGGGAAGTGGCAGCTGGTGGTGGCAAGAGGAGGAAGTGGGATCACCCGTTTCGGCAGCAATGTGCTCTTAGCTCTGCTTAGCTGTATGTCAGCTTGTGCTCACAGGGATCACAGTGGGGCTGGCACGGCTCTGCAGCACATACGGCTCGAGCAGAGAAGCTAGCGCAGGCGCTCTAGGCAGCAGGGGGCTATGCTGAGGAAGGGCCTTTGCTGCTTTGGGGCTGGAGCAGCTCATCGAGAGCTTGCTGAGGACTCTCTCATCCCCGCCGCACGGCACAGGCATTCGAGGAGTCTCGCTGTTGGGTGTTTCTCACTTGCCAGCATGTACGCAGCCGGCTGCGTGCATGCATGTCTCAAAGTTCGACTCCCTCCAGAGCATAGCAGGGGTGGAAGCCATAGGAGATGAAGCCTTTTTGCCCTGGTTGCTTTCCACAAAGGAAGCTTTCCCACTGTCTAATCCCTCAGAGGAGGAAAGACCATCTGCCCCAGAGGGAAATGAGGAGTTGACAGAAGCACAGCAAGATTCTGGGCTGGGAACTGCCCTGCCCCTGCCAGGGCCCTAAGCTGCCAAAGGGTTTTTTGGCTGAGAAGGTGATGGGCACAGCTTTCCCAGCACTGTGTTGCGTTACCTGCTCCCCTTCCTCCTGTCCTTCCTACAGTGGGCAGAGCTCCGGTTGCCAGCTCCACGTGCTCCTAAAGGGAACAGAGTTGTCGGGGCAGCTGTAACTGTGCCAGTACCTGAGGAAACGTGTCTTCCCTGCGTGGCCCAGGCGGTGGTTCTCATCACTGACACAGGAGCGCACAAGTGTTGCATGGATTAGGAATGTTGCCGGCTGGGCTGACTGATGTCAGGGAACCTGGTCTCCCTGGCTATTCGTAGGAATAAAAGTGCTGCTGCTGTGGCTTTTTCCCAAGTAACATGTATTTTCTATGGCGTTTTCCATGGGGGAAGCTGGGCTGGTTGGAGTCACCTGAGCAATGTCTTTTCCCTCAGAAAATGCTCGTGTCCCAGAATAGAGGCACAGTCCACTGGAGCAGGGAGGTGCCCGCTGGTCCTGGTTGGCGTGGACCCCATGGACACAGATTCTCAGACAGCAGTCTTTCTCTTTACCAGCCATACATTAGCATGGCCAGGAATACTATTTGGAACCATAAACCCTGGGGCTTTTTGTAAATCTAATTTCTAACTGAAGTGTTAGGACCCAAGCACACTGACTTAATGTCACTGGATGCCTGTCAGGCTGTTCCATGTTACTGCTGCTGCTCACACCTCAATCTCAAATGCAATCTTTTCTTTTTCCTTTTCTCCCTTGCAGAATGGTCGAAACCTCTTTTAGAAAAAGTGGTTGCATAGAAAGAATATTGCTCTGCTTCAGGGGTAGATCTTTTATCTATCATGGACCTTATAGTTCTTGGGGACCTCTCCTTCACAGCTGTGGCACAACTGGAGATCCAGTTTTTGGGGCGCTCTTCCCCCCACAGGAGGTCTGGGTTTCCTGCATCAATTCAGACAGACATTTGGCCACAAAGCACAAAAAGCTTTACTGACTTTTAATTTGTACACACAGGACATGCAAATTTTAGCCACAGAAATATTAGCATTACTTCATTTAGAATATTACAGCCAAAGCATAAGAAGTGTTACAGAGGATAATGAACACTCTAGTTGACCATTTTAATGGTTTTACTGTTCATTTTCCTACTCCCACACTGCACAGGAATGAGAGTCAGTAGTGAATCCCTCTGTCTCTGTAATGCCGTATCCAGGCAAGGTGAGGAAGAACATGCCTAAGACTTGGCCTGCACTTCCATGGGCCAGCCTGTGCTTCCACTCACCCCCCTACGTGCTGGAGACAAATAGCCTTTTCCCATATGAGAGTATGTTGGTGGTTGTACACACTAGAACAAATTCACCTGTCATGGAAGTCTGGAAATGCCAACATTGCTACATCAGCTGTGAATTTAAACAGTAGAGAGAGGACCTGGCCACTATGCTAGAACACCGCAGAGTTGAAATATGTTACTTTCATGCAGTCACATAGCCAGAATCGGACGGCAAAAACCACAATTCATTTAATGGAAGAATCCACAATCTCCTGGTAATCTTGCCTTCCTAAATTCTTCCAGGACAGTTTATAACATGCGAGGAAAAAAACACTAACCAAAATAACTGCTCCCCCAACAAGATCATAAGCACCTGGGAAGATCCGCAACACGACAAGCTGTAGGACCATGGCGATGACTATCTCCAGGTGCTGTACGGTGCTGACCAAAGCAGGGTGGAACTTGCTCAGGGCATAGTAGACCCCCAGGAAGGCTGCTGTGGAGCACAGGCAGATGGCAAGGAGATAGCTCCAGGTTTCTCCATCCAGTGGGACGATTGGCTCTTGAAGCAAGAACATGGTGGACGCTCCCCACACCATTCCCGTCCAACTAAAGGTAAACAGTGCCGTCCACATGCTGATGTTATCTTTGATTGACCTGTAGACTATCATGGAGAGAGCAGTGGTCAAACCTGCCATAACGGTCATGGTATAGCCAAAAGCTTCCTTCCAGGTGCTCAGCAAAGAGCTTTCCTCCTTAACAATGTTGGGGATCATGACCAGACAAACACCAAACATGCTGCCAACTACAGTAATTATGTCTATGTAAGCCATTCCTTCATCTACAAGTAAAAAAGCCAAAATGGCACTGAACACTGTAGTGGTAGCCCTCCACATGATGGTCCCATTGCTGGGGGGAACTATAGAGAAGGAGGTATAAGCACAGGTAATAGAGATAACATTGCAGACCCCATAGAAGAAGAGCCGTAGTCTGTAGCCTTTGGGGCCAAAGGGAGGCTCATGGTAGTAACACACAACAGTAATGGACAGAACCTGTAAGACTGAACGGATGAAAATTAACTCTAGGGATGGCACTTTGGAACGATCAGAAATTAGTCTTGTAATTAGAGCCACACATCCATGAGCCACGGCAGATCCGAAAAGGACTACCCACATTTTCCTCGACTGCAGTATATTTCCTTCAGGCAGATGCTGGGATTGCCCAATCTCATCAGGTTTTGGCAGTTGTGCTGGCTGAAGCTTGGTGTCTATTGTACCAAAAAAGGTCCTTTCTCTCTTTTTCCCATCATTCAGTAGTCTTGTTTTAGGACTATCCTCTGTAAATACTCCAGTATCTTCATTAACATCCTCATATCCCTCTTCTCCTGGCTGGGGATAATGAGAAGTATATTTCACTGTTACTGTGTTGGGATGAATTTTCACTCGCTTTTTGACTGGGTATTTTTGGGAAGACGTATCCATTTCCTCAGAGAAACATCCGGGTCTTAAGAAAAAAAATGGAGATGCACAGGGTTGGGTTTTGTTTTTTTTTAATGCATTCTCCCTATTCATTAGTATGTAAATGCTGGTAGTGTTTATAAGCTATTTTTATCAACCAAGTCCAAGTACTAGTAGGTAGTTCTTAGTTTTGCTTTAATTTTCTGCTGAGTTACTGCTAAATACCTTTGATAGTTAGGCCATTTGGATTTCCTTAAAAGCTAACCGTGGAACTTCAGTCGATGATTTTTGAAAATGACATATATTCTCATTATGTATAGTACACATAATGCATTCTAGTATGTTCTTATTCTAATGAGAAGGTGTTCATTAGAAAGTGCTAAGCTTTTTGGATAGTAAATACCCCATAATTATGAATTATGCTTACTGTTAATTGCTTCCTAATGTTACAAGATCACAGAAGAAGTTTGGCTAGAAGAAATGATTGCCTTGTTTCTAAACTGACAAGAGAGCAACACGGGGAAATAGGGAATATCCCTGAGCAAGTCAGCGTAGTTAGCACATGAATAAACAACATGATTTTGAACAATACTTTGACAGCGTTAAAAATTCTTTCTTCATTTCACATCCTTTTATTTCCAGTGATTGATTTTTGCAACAGATTTGTTCTTCAAATCTGATTTTATTTTTTTTTTAATGGAGAAAATTTAGAGGGCTGATCCAGACTACACAAACCAGACCTTCCCGTGGCAGACATTTAAAACCCACAGCAACAAAAGCACCACCCTTCTGCCTCCTATGGAAGGTCCATTTCCCACTGCACAAGCAGTGCAAGGTCTCCCCTTGGTGCCTGTGCTTTGTGCGCACCACCATGACACAGGCAGCAACATGTGCGGTGCCACGCGCGTCACAACGGTGGCATCACCCTCCCAAAACAAGCACACAATCCCTTCACGTGCCCGGCCTTCACCAGCACAAATGCAGCTTGGTCTCCGCTGTCATGGGTGCGTGTAGCCTGCCCATGAGGAGCCCATCTGTGGCCTTAATTCCCTCCAGCTCTCTGCTGAGCCTGCCATCGCTGTCCCCAAACCCAGTGTGACAGCGCTGGCTGAGTTTAGTTCAGGCACGGAGATGTCATTGACATTACTTTGTTTCCGCAGTGCCCTCCACCATCTGCGCAGAGAGCCCTTCCAAATGAAGTGGCAGCAGGAGAAATGCAACCTTCCCTGCCTTCTGTTTGCCCCAGCAAATAAACACATGCAGTCCTTACCTGCGACTGAGAGATTTAATCCCAAACCAGAAGGGGAAAACACCTCTTGGTCATCTACATCTTTGTCTGGGTGTCTAAACAGAAGTAGTACATGCTCTCAGATGTCAAATGGGAAAGGTTACAATCATCTCAGCACAGAAAGTAATACCCAAGGGGGGCATGAAACATTCTGCTTGTTTTTCAAAGTCAAAAATTTGAGAAGCACTTGTGTGCCTTTGAGGGCATGCTCCTTGCGAACTGGCAAGCCAGGTGCATCGTTATGAAAAAAACACCCCCACCAAACCCAAAAAACTTCAGATGGAGAGAAAGCAATCAGTGTCATCTTGCCAAAACCACTCCTCAGCCACCTCCTAGAATTACTGATGGGACTAATCCAAAGAACAAGCAGTGGCTTTGTGAGCATAAGGTTCCTACAGCTTAGTAACAACTAAGCCTGCTATCCTGCCTCACCAGTGCTGTGGAGGATGCCCAGCGGGACCCATCCTCCTGATCCCATCATCCATCCCCCGGAGCTGAGCCCAGCCCTGCAGGCAGCAGCAGTTTGGCCTCTGTGGTATCAGCTGGGGACAGGTATGGAGAACCCTGCAGTCCTTCTCCGCAGGGAGCACCGAAGCACCAGAGCAGGTGGGTCCTGAAGGCGCAAGACCACAGCTAAGTGGACAATTGGGCTAAACAGCATGACGGCGGTTTGTCAGGCACACCACAGATCAAACGGCAATGTAAAAGTGAGTGCAATAGCTCTTCAAAGAAATACTTAAAAAAATACCACGGCCAGGTTCAGCCTTTGTGTTTTCTCCATCAGTAATCCATGACAGCCAAGCACCGCCTGTGTCTCCTGGCAAAAATAATTTACATAAGAATGGGACATTCCTCCTTTTTCCTCACAGGCTGAGTGTTTATTGAACCCCCTGCTACACCCAAGCTAAGCTGTAGCCTACTTCTGCAGGCAGAGTGAATCCCTGGTAGGGATCAGGATGAATGGGAGTGGGGAGAGGGGCAGGCACCGAGTCCCAGCTCTGGAGGAAGGTGGCAGCACCAGTTTGGATCTGCACAAGTAGGCGAGGGATCCTGGGACACCACCTTGCTCTTGCTTTGGCAGACTACGCTCCCAGCCCTGAGATACCTCACTCAAGCAGACTGGTAGATGTTGGAGGGTCTGAGGACAAGGAACACCTTTGTCTGCTCAGGAGGCCTTGTGTTAGCTCTCCGCCTGTTCATGTTTCTGCTGCCAACCCATTTTCAGCAGAGCTCAGCTGAAAAAACAAAGCATACCCAGTACGCTGCTAAACGTTGGAGGAGTACCCCAGAGTGCCCATCAATGTACGGTTTAAATACTGCAAGAAACCTGAGAAGAAACAGCTGAAATGCCAAGGAGAGTAAATTCGGAGGGCAAGAGCTGCATATCGGCTGCAGCAGTGGGCAGTTCAAACAACCCATCAAACATTTAAAAACACCCTGGCAGAAATCTACCGTGGTGTCACTGCCTGCTATTTGCACTTCTTCAAGCTGTTAATTTCAGATTCTTTTAACACGCAAATGCAAAGTGCAATGAATAAGTCCAGGAAGGCAGTGATTTTCACAAGCACATCTTTTCCTACCTAGCATTTTCATTGTGTTATAAATTCACAATTCTGCCTTGCTGTCCCCACATCTTGAAAAAATTAAGAGCATCTTGATTTAAGCACAATATATGGA